ACGTACGTATGTTTTATGAATAATACAACTGAAAAATTTAATTAAAAATTTTAATGTTATTGCGTATTGACATAAAATGTCAATGCCATTGCGTATTGTGTACGCAATTACTATGAATCCCGCATCGCTATGACTTCATACTACATTGAGGGGACAAATGCGTTGGTCTGACTAGACTCCGCGGCACGTTGTAGCAGTGCTATAACGGTGTCTCGGAGCCAAGCCTGACCAAACCTTGCCCGCCGCAAGAAATCTGCGAGGTTGGATATCGGCTAGGGCCAGAGTTATCAGACTGTTACTTTTTTCAAAAGATTTTTATGATTTTATACAGTCACAGTTAATCGAGTCAAGTCGATCACGCGAAGATTTGACACTTTTCGAATCACGTAGTTGATATCTGATTTAGAGCTTTTTATAATCTGTCCTATTCTGAAAAAGTCAAAAAGAATTTTTGGGAAAAACTGCCGTCTGGCAACCTTGACTAGGGCGTGGTGGCCGTTTGTTTTCTGGTGATTTCTTTTATTGATGTTATAAACATCCGAGTCCAAATAGAGTCCGGCAGGAATGTCAGTGGAATTTTGCGTTAGGGAACCCCTGACCACTCCGTTCAGTGAATTTTATGCTCTCTCTCTCTCAACGGTTATATCACCCAATGAGGTAATTTTTGTTGAATTCAAATTGTTTAAAAGAATTAACTTTCTTAATTTTTCTTTCATTTAAAATTGTTATTCTAGCGACTTTTATTTATTACTTTTTTCTTTTTAGTGTCATGAATTTTAGATAATGTCTTATTCATGCATTTATTCTTTCGCGGAATCTTGGACTTCAGAAAACTATTATTTTAATTCACTAAACAACAGTAACTTTTGCGTAAATTTTAACTGTAACTATTGTTAGTAACGCATAGTCATTTTGAAGGGGATTTGAGTAATTATTATTTTTCTTGTATCGAGACAAGTTTTTTTTAATTAAAAATTGTTCTCCCCGACAATTTATGAATAGATTTTTTTTTTGAATATCCCAGTCACATCACATAGAAGCTGGAAGTGGAGAAGGATTTCGATACGGTACTCATTTCCGATGAATGATCCGGCGCTCAAAATTTTTATTTTGGATTTATTTTAGGGTTGTGAGTGCCATCGGGCCGAATAATAAAAGGAGGGTTCAGCGAACCTCCTGAAATTAAGTGGCAGTGCGTAGAAGTTTATTTCCGCCGTAAACGACAGGAAGCTATCAATTTGTTCTTTAATTAAATATAATTGTGACCTTTTTGGCCCTTTAGCAATATTACAAGTATGGATGTATCCATTATACGTTAATTTGACAGATTTCATACATTTCTCCTTTTTTTGAGGTTGTCGATTAGTTATAAAAATTATGGAATAACGAGGACGCGGGGTAATGTCCTGCTGGTTTTATTATGTGGTGGACGAAATTAGTTAAGTCCTTCAAATTGTCAGATGCCACCAGCACGTAAGCGTCGTTGTCTCAGTTTACTTGACTGCTTTTAACTACAAAACACTGGAACCACAACGGAAAAACCACAGGAGTTCCTGAACCAGTGCTATATCTCGGCACGCGAACCCTAGTGTTGGCTACTTGTACACTTGCATAAATCACACATCCGTCTACATGGCCTTGCATGTTAGCATTTACAGCCGCATGATTTCCGACTAAGAAAAGGAGACGGAAATACAAAAACAGGGGAAAGATAAAAAAAGGAAAGTGTTGAATGAGACTCGGTAATGTCTAATTTGTTTACATCCGGAATATATTTTATGTACTTGAATCTAGTATATTTGATAATTTAAATATATTATTGGATTCTGAAATATATTTGATTTAAATATCATTTTTCCAGTTGGAAGTCTTTCGTTGGATCAATATTGCTCGAGTATATTCATTTTCTTGGAGATTTTCGAGATACAAAAAAATACAGGAACGAATTGTGGATTAAAAAACGCGGATTAAAAACTTAGGTTCTATGCTGATAGAAATATTCAGAAGGAATTCAAGCATCAGAAGATGAATTTGAATCTTCTACTCAAAGCTACTAAAACTTAATTTTAAGCTTCGCCGAAACTTTCCAAAATGAGTCTTATGTTTGAGATGATTGAGATTTAATAAAAAATAAAATGGAAAAGAATCTTTGCTCACCATACATAATCGTCCAGGGTGTACCATCCACTAAGAAAAAAATCCTAATGCCAAATATATTTTTTTCCGTTTTCAGGAATTATATTTAAGTAAATATACATCTGTCCGTACAGAGTTGGTTTGACAAATTCACTATGCAAACTTGATTTAGCTGATTCCGTCATAATTGAGTGGTCATGCCGAAGACTTGAAAGACATTGTTTCAGAATGTCCCTGATATTCTGAGCATTGCCCTCAAATGTTACACGGACTTGGCGAAAAATGGTATCAGTGCATGATTTCAAAGTCTTCTACAACACATTCAACGTACGGATCTTAATGATTATCAATTTATTTTTGAAAATTAATAACATTTGTATTTTTATCGCAAATTGGATCATAATGAGCACCAGAGACGTGACCCGATGATCATTATAAATTGATAGAAACTTGTGTCATCTGAATTTTTCATACAGTGAATTCAAATAGACTTTTAATGGAGAAAACTCACAGAAAATGAGAAAACTGAATTCTTCATCTTACACGAACATCGGTTTTTGAATAATAACTTGAATTATCAGGCTATTCACAGAAAATGAATGTTAAAAACCATTGAATTTTAAAAAGAACCAAAACTCTGACAAATCTTTGCTGGAATATTGGAAAAAATGACTCGAATACTCACCAAATTTAGAATTCCATAAAAATTTCAGGTCACCGTATTTTTTAATGACACGTCTTTTTACTTGAGATTTCAAGAATAATTTTTTAAAAGTGGACTGATAATCACTCCCTAATAAGGACAGACGGGTCAGATGTTAGACCCAAGTCATTAAATTTATTATGCTTTGAGAACTAATGAAGGAAAAACTGACTATCCGTGTCTCTGAGATTATTTATCTGCGGTTATTTGCTTCTAAATGACACCAGGCTTGTCAAGTTACATCATTAACATGGAATGTATCAAATTTAATCCCAGTACCTCAGCCTTTTCTGAATGTGGAAAAACCTTGAGAGGATGCACTGTACAAAGTTGTTGACCAATTCATTGCTAGCCAAAAAAAATATCTATTCGGTTCAAAATGAAATGTTTCACTGATAAATAAATCGGACTGAATTAGAAAAATTTGCTGATAAAGTTATTTTAATTATGCTAACAAAAATTTGTCTGTAAGAAAAGCTACGAGTGACTTTATTCTGATGCTAAATTATCATAATCAAATCAATGAAACGGTCCAACGGATTGAATAATCCCATAAATTTCGTATGCATGTCGCAAAAACCTTAATCACTTCGCTGATTTAAATTCTCAACATAACTTCCATCACATCACCACTAAAGCAAATGGATTTATTCTATTCAAATGAATTTATGAATGTGCAATAAATTGAAGAATTAGTTGAGTTATCACGTTACACATAACGCGTTCAAAATGGCGCATTTTTACGGTCACTTGTTAGCACGAGAATGGCAATGACAATACCAATTAGTATAATTTGCATACGATTGAGCTTGCAACGCATGTATGTATCTAGCCGAACACGAACTACTGTACACACGGTGATAATTATGCGATGCGTATACAGGCCACCGAGTAAATTATAAAAACTCTATTTGCTTATCGATGAGGGTTATTAAAAATGATTTGCCTATCGATTGACTGGCTGGAATAGAAATAAGTGAGAGAAAAGGAAAATAATTTTTTGGGATCAGTCTATAGTTCAATTCAATTATTGTTACCTACAAGTCATCAAAAATCCAATAAAAATGACCAGAAAAAGAAAGTAAAAATTACATTCCACATTGTAGTTCGCGAACAATTTTAAGTTCAATAATATGAGATAAATAATAATAATAATAATAGTATGAGAAAAGTATGGAAGATGAATTTTTCACATTTTTCTAATTTTTAAAATTCTTTTGGAGAAGTAAGGAAAAAAGTAACTAAAAATCATATTTAGGTGATCCAAAATGTCCTCAAACTTGAAGATTTGGTGTTGCCGAAAGAAGTTTTTTTCATATCTATCGTTGCATTTACGATCCCAATCACGGATGTTACGAGATTGAGATCCCGTCAATGACGGGAAAGGAAGCGGATTTTACGACTTAAATCTCATAAATTACGAGGACCCATCTCGTGAATTACAACTTTCAACCTAGTAAATTACCAGTTTTAGGTTCGTAAAATACGAGATAAAAACCCGTAACTCCGATTAAGATTTGTAATTCACGGGATAGGTCCTCGTAATTTACGAATCGATCCCGTAATTTACGCCATAGAAATCGTAATTTACCGCCCAAAAGTATCTGACTATTGTCATGAAACCGATCGATAATTGTTATGGAATAAATGATGAAATTCCTCTTCTAAGTCACCCCTTTCATTCAACTTCAAATTCCTCGCGGATATTACAGCTCGAAAGTTTATTTTGCCGTTATTTTTTTTAGCAAATTTATCAGATTTTTCCATCCCCCGTGTAATACTGAAGCACCGCTTCAATCATAATTAATCACCATTGAACTACCCATTTTTCACGTCAATAAACGGTTCAGCAACAATTACCGAAAGGCAATTCATTCACCTGAAATCGTCACCACTCAACTGAATCGTTGGGTATCTATTAATATTCAGTTGTTCTAATTCGTCAACGCTATCCGGAACATTCACCGAACCTCGTTAATATCCCCCAAATCCTCCCATCACTGTGAGCGCTAAATTATTGTTGACATCACGTTGCAAAACTCATTAGTTTCAGTAGAAACGAGTATCGTTAAAAGTAGGAGAAAAAAAGTGGACGGCACGAAGAAGGGGTGGTATTAAAGAAGAGAAACTTAAAAATTTAATACTCAACGGTAACACCCACATCCGCTTTTATAATTAATCCGTGGAACTAAAATGTGCTGGATTAAACTCATGAATGTCGTTGCCATCAAAATTTTTCGAGTTAACAGGATTTGTCATGCATGTCTGACTTGACGTACTCTGCGTTCACTTGATGGCAGTAATGGTAACTCACCTGCAACAGAGAGAAACGAAAATTATTATTTTTATTTAATCTGCTGATGAGTATGTATTTTATTAAACATATATTTGGATAGCCTCTGTCTGTCATTTCTTGAATTTCTACACGACTGAATAAAAAAATATTTACCCGAAATACTAGATTTTTTGTGGGTTTTCCCCCAAGCTCGCTTTGGGTACATACGCTGTTTTTATTTATCGCTGTTGATAACTAAATAAATATCCCGGTGCTGTCGAACACAAACAGATCTCGAGTTTCCAGAATTTCGATATATTTCACTGCGAATGCAGAAAATATTTTACTATGAATTATTATTTTTTCAATTGTGCCAAATTGACCGCGTCCGGACCGCATGCAACCGATGGAATTCTAATGAATCAATCCCCGTAGAAGTAATACGAAAAAAATCTTACTGAATACAACGATGTCTTTTTACGAATGTTTTTTAATTGATACCACGACCACCTATTCTCACCGAGTCCCCAGGAGGAAATATATATTCATACTGCATCGCGTGGTCGATGTATAGACGAGAAAGTAATTACACTCTGGACTACTCGTTAATTTTCCTGGGGTGAACACTGAGCCCGTGTATTCCGGTAAAATTAGAAGGTGATTTTTTTTGCACACATTTATTTTTTGTGTACTTCGATGGCGGTGATAACGGGGCAGTGGCTTTGTCAAAATTGTAGAGCACTTTTTACTCTTGTCGGATATTCAAAAATGGGAGTACATGAAAATAGAGAAAAAAGTGCTGGATAAAATGCTTTCGCATGAAGAGATATATATTTTTTTTGTTGCCACTAGAGAGACATATGAGAGGCAGTCCACGCCAAACGAGTCGAACCGCTGAGCCTCATCCTCTTAAAAATTGATGGAATTTTTTCTACTAGTTGTCGGTCGAAAAACAATCTTCGAAATTTGTTAATCCCTCTTGACGACTTATCTCGAAGGTATAACTTTTTTCTACATTTCTCTGATTATTTCAATAAGTCGAACTGTTTTTGCGACTGATAGGACTTTTTCAACGAATTTTTAAATTTAATCTTCAGACGCTTGCCATAACCATTTTGTGCAAAGTGGTAAATGGTAAGTTGTCAAATTACATCAGCTTGGATTGGAACATTTGTCTTTGAAATGAATTTCACTATAAATTTCCAAAATTTCGAAAAGGAAGAAAAAAAGAGATCCAACAAGATACAGACTAGTGATGCGAGCAAAATCCATGACATCAAATGACGGTCACACTGATAGAAGGATTAGGTCACAGAAACCTGACATATTCGGTTGAGCATTTAAAAAAAATTAATTGATCCGAACCAGGCCTTCAGTTATAAATGCAATACATTTCAAACCGCATTTAATTTTATTATTTTTGTATCGATACCAACCGAGACCGTTCGAGACAACTGAGCATTTGGTAATAATTACCGAATTCAAGTTACCTCAACGTGCCATTCAGTTGAGGGGCATACTCTCTATTCTGCTGCTTGTATTACCAACTAGTCATTCGGTAACTATTACCTTATCAGCCAGTTGGATTAATCCTAACCTCTTAACTGAACTGTTGGGTGTCAACGATCATTGCCCGATTCAGTTAGTCCTATTTAACTGCGTAATTAGGCAACAGTTACTGAGGCTGTGTAACCTCAACCTAATCCTTCTATCAGTATATATGATGGTCTGTAACACGTCACATTACGGACCCATAATTTTACCTTTATCGTCACATAACAAGCATATGATCGGCTTCCACATGACGGACATATCGTACCCAAGATGTGATGTATAAAAATTTATGCAAAATTTTAGTTATTCATAATAAAATATTATGAAAATAGCACTTGTTCTTGAATCAACTTCTCACTGACAGAATGGACAGGTGACAATCATCTCACAAAACTTCACTGAACACGACAAAATTTTCTGACACGAAGCTAAATGATCGTTACATCGCATCTAGATAGATAATTTAATTTAAGTGGACTTAGACTAGATTTAAGTCATCTGTATGATTCGAGTTAGATACTTATAACGAAAAATCATCAAAACAATCGATTTGATGTCCTCGGAATTGCTGTAATTAAATTTAGATACATTAGATGCGTCCAAGATTCTGGAATAATTCTATTGAATGGAGGCCATGCTAGCGGAATCATGAAAAACAGAAGCATCTGTAATATAAGAACGCTCCGCAGTTCAGAACCAGAAAATAGTAACATTCGATGCAAAAGCTCAAAAAGAAAACGAACGAATTGTCGTGACTCGATCCCGTGAAAGTGAGGAATTTGATTGGATTGACAATGAAACCTTGGAGCGCCATGATGTCTTCAGTGTCACTATCCTAACAACGATTTTTTCATCAACAATGTAAAAAAATTTCCTGAGAATGTCTATCGGATCAAGAGGCAGCTATAACTTACATATTACTAGCACATTACAGAACACTAAAACGCTGAGAACACGACTTTAATAAGAAATTTAATTCAATTCGAGTGATAAAGGACGTTAATGATGCTTCATTAAATTCTTAAGACGATGAGTCTGAGATGGGATAAAAAGAGCGCTCCAACCAAGAAAAATGGCGTGAACTTTGAGTCGTAAAGTCTTGTCAGTGAAAAAGCATACCGAGAGTTTAACGAATCGGAAATGTAGAGCTGGCGAATCGTATAAACGTTCTTAGTGAAGCTTCTATCCTTCTCATTCACCTCCGTTTCCCTTTACGACGGATATACATAGTTTACGGTACTTCCTGTAGACTTTAGTACAAGAGGTTGGTTTTCTAGCCAACATTCTCGTTGACATTGTCATGTTTCCCTTAACCCACCATCTTCAATGTCGTTGGCGACTGATATGCACATGGTTTGCAAGAGGACATGAATTCAGATAAAGATCAAATGTTATGGGATATGGGATGTTATGAGAATGCTGAATGGAAGCACTTCAAATCCAGACAGTATCCATTAATATGCATCCGGTGCATTTCCGTATGAATATATACCGAATGAAAAACTATCAAATCTTCATCCAGGATGTCCTAATCACTTATTGAGATTCCTTCGCGGATGTCAAGAAATTAATGAAACCTCTGATTGAGCCGGAAATTTATCCTCTTTTCAATTATTCTTTCTCTCTCTCTATCTCTCTCTTTTGAAACTGTTTGTCATCCATTATCTGATTTATGGATTTCGATGAAACCCGTTTTTACTGTTTTGTATCTTTGAGGAGATATTTCGTCTATGGAATTGACGACCGAGGGGAGCTGAATTATTCATACTGGAATCGATAATAACACATTTATATTTAAATCTACTTCCTTCACAGCCCAGAATTTTAGATGATAATGCACACTTTCCATCATTTTACCTCTGTTTTCGGATTTCCGTGGAGTCATTTGAGACTAATGTAGTTGGGTTTACGATGGATCTAGTAAAATAGTATTCTTGTCGTATATTCATCTTAAATACGACCAAAAATCAATAATGAAACAAGAATTATGTATATAAATAAATTATGTATATAGTAAAGTAGTCTGTACCGATTGAGCGATTTATTTGATATCGATGAGGTTTGTTAACTATTATCAAGTTGCCGGGATGAACATAATCAAAAAACTGGTCTGGTGAATACATTCTTCATGTTTTGCTTTGATGAGGCCATAAATTGAAGAATGATTCACGTCTGATAAGACAAAATTGTATCATTAACTAGCGATGAACCCTAACAAGAACTGCTAGACTTAGGATTCATCTTGAAAAATGAATCTGAGATCAAATATGATAAGGTAGTCTGTAAGAGTTTTTAATTATTACTTAATAGTAAATTTGGATATGATCAGAAGATGCAGTAATGGTGGATTGTTGGGTCAACGTTCTCCGGGTATGCCGTTAATTTTTAATGAATGCATACTTGAGGAGACCAAGTCGCTCTAAAGTTTCAGTGATTATTTAAATTGCCTGTCGCATACTTCTCGCAAGAATAGCATAGCATAGCATTCGTCATTTATCTGCAAACGTATTGCTTTTCATAGAAATGATCAAAGATAAGGTTCTGTACTTCATTCGTAACTTTACCTCCATTTTTACTTGCACTCGGTACGTTGGGAACAATGGAACTTGTCAAACATTCTTTAAAAAAAAAATGTGAGAAACCCTCCGAGACTTTGACCTATCTTATCTCGAATTGATGATCTCCACCTCCTAAAACAGCAGTTCATCTCTCGCTAGAGAAGGGAAAAATGAAAGAGGAAAGTGAAAGAGGAATGGATGATATAAAAACTTAAAGAGACGAATTTTGGGGAATTGACGGAGAAGAGAGTCGCGACAGCTTTTTGCGGTTCCTCTTGGATCCCAGCGAAAGTATAAGGGCTGGATGGAGGCAAAAAAAGGGGGGAAAAAAATGAAAAAGAGAAGCAAGCGTGTCTCTAGCAGTCGTCGGTGCAGACATGTAGCAGTGGAGCTCGGAGCTAAAAATAAGGCGCCGTGGTAACGAGCGTAAGCATCCTGTATATATACAAGTCGTCGACCCCTTAACATTTTTGTATTCTATATCGTTCAGCGCCACCCCCACACCACCCGTCGATCTTTCTCCCGCCTATTTAAAAAAGAAAAAAAAACCTAGGGAGTAAGAGATGTCCGTAAATACGCAGTGCTCGGAATTGCAGTTGGTGTAATGGCCCAAGGGTTTGCACTGCCGTACACCCGGGATAAGGTTATTTCCTAGCCATGTCTTCTCACTTCTACTCAGGAGAAGTTGGTCACTGATGCAACACACCACTCTGTATGTATTCGGGAAATTGTAAGCCGTGTTTACCAACCTACCCGACGGTGGAAGAGAAAGAAAAAAATACCAGATGGTAAAGACCAAAAGAGGAAAGAGGGTGAAAAAAAAAGGAAAATGAGTCGACGTGCTTTTCAGAGACAATGAGGGAATAAAAATTAATAAAAATGCAAATTGCTCCGGGATTTCTTGCTACTCTGGAGTTTATGGAAATT